AGATGGCTTTTTCCCCCAGATGTGGTACTGAAGTTGGCCTGTGAGGAAGAGCACATGAAGATGATGGTGAGGAAGGAGGTGTTTGAACTCTTGAAAATCCCCCGGGAGCTTGTCCACTTGAAGAACCAGGCATGCAAAGTCTCAGAAAGGGAAGAAGAGGGTGAGCTGTTTCTTGCAGCCACTCTCACAGGTGAAAACCACACTGCCTGTGGATCAATAATTCAGGTGAGGATCCAGCAGAGCCTCTCTGCATAGTTCAGAAGCCATGAGAGGAGCAGACATGCTGAGTGGGGACTGCAAGGGGAAGCCCTGGAGGCTTTTCCTTTTATATCTGTGTGCTGTAAAGTTCTTGTTCCCCTTGGAAGGCTTCCCTGGGGGCTGTCAGAAAGCTCTTCTGCCTCCACCAGACCCCTGCTGGCAGCACATCTCGTCTTATTCAGCAGAGCACGGAAGTCTCACTGTGCTCTTTACAAGCTGATAACAACCCTCAGCTTTCCGGCAGCATCCTCTGAGCCCTGCAGCCCTGGCTACAGCCCCTTGGTCCCTCATTTGATTCATGGGTCAGGGAGGGTGCAGAGGAACCGGTGCTCCAGCTCTGCATTGCACAGAAGGCCCTCACCTGTGGTCACTATGCTGACTCCTGCCTACTCCAGTGATGGTTACCAGTAGCCCCTGGACATGGGACTTGAGCCAACAGACGTCCAGGAGGCCTGGAGCAACTACAGCTGAGTTGCACCTTCTGAACTGGAGCTTAGAGCTCTGTGTATGGACTTAGACATGGTCCGGAGACTTGGTTTCTGTGTCATTCCAGCAAAACAGCTCCCATGTGTCATACTCCAACGTCATTGAGTCAGAGCGGGAAGTGCTCAGGGGTGTGATCTCCCGGAGTTTTCAGCTGGAGGTGCATTTCTCCTGCATCTACGCCTATGAGCAGGTGGTGAAACTGCCCTTCGCTCTCACTGCCGTTGACAAGTGAGTGGTTCCTTTTCACCTTGCTGCTGACATGGTATCTGTGAGCTTGCAGAAGAATAGATGCCTTCCATGAGATGATCTGCAAAGGCCCTGGGGAGCCACTAGAGAGTTCTGAGAGCAATGCCACATCAGGGTGCCTCCCTTTCTCTTCCCGTCATAGTTTTTCAACACAGGGTTTGGGCCTGGGACAGAGCCAAAGAGGGGCACGCACAATCTTCCTTTCTCCTATCCTCACTGCTTGAAACCATCTAGCTAAAAAATAAAGGGTGGGAACTGGAAGATGCCCCCACCAGGCCCCTGTGGAGGTGCAGCTTAGGACCCCCTGGGTTGCCTTTCTCGTAGTCCTCACTGGCCAGCGGTCAGTGGGAACCCTGGAGCTCCTTGCCTCTGTCCACAGCCAGGAGGCAGCTCGGAGCCCGACTCTCACAAGGCTCCACCTGGGAACAGAGTCAGTGCACCTGCGGTGGTGGCCTGACCTGTGCTGCATCCTTTCTGCCTTCTTGTTCTGCTCGTGAGCTCTCCTCATTTCCTCTCAGGCTGGTGCAGTTCATGGTCAGAGAAGGACACTTCAACGTCAGCATGACACTGTACAAGACCTCCTCCTACCTCCAGCCCTATCACCTGCCAAACGCAGCCGTCCCCATCACAGACACACTCTATGTC